CTTTTTTTCTATTTTTCTTTATTGCCTCATTATCAGTCATCTATACTTCATCAGAATAATATATATTACTACCTTTACTTCTTGTTAACAACTATAAATTATCATATAAATATTGTGCAATTTTTTTATTGCCTGATTTAATTAAATATGTTAGTGCCTTACACCTTCTTTTTCTCTTTTAAATAATAATAATAATAATAATAATAATAATAATAATAATACTGATAATTTATATTATGCCTAATTTTATATTATGCTTATCTTATTTACTTTTGTAATTTTATTTATTCTAAACTGATTGTATTTCTTTAAACTTAAACTAGCATTTATTATTTCTGTCTGTTTTTGCATTTTATGATGTTGTTATAATATCTTCACAATAGTTCCAGAATATTGTTTGTAACTAGGCAACTTCTTTATTATTGTTAGAATTAATTTCTGCCTTATAGTTTTCATCTGTAAAGACCAAGTTTTAGTTGTTTGTAGTTTAAGTACAGACATCTTACCTCTTTTTATCATTATTTTAATTTTATTCTAAAAATAAAAAATACTTAAAAAGATGTAAGCCAGATAATAATAAGATAAGGGCTTGGATCTGTTACCTATTTCATATTTGAAATTAACTGATATCTTACTAATATCTCTATCATTGAGAATTTATTAGGATACTGAATTCAAACTTAATTAATAATAAAATATATTACATATAAATAAGCTGTTTGTTTCTTTGTTAGTTCTTTGAGAGGCTGACTATCTTCAGAACTACTATTGCCAGAGCTCAAACTTCTACTCTTTCTTGAACTTTTGCTAGCCACACTGCTAGCTCACTCTTTTACTATTACTACTGGTAGTGCTTGCACTACTAGAGCCTAAGAAAAAAAAACTTCTTTTCTTACCTTTTTCTTTACTTTTAAGTGCATCAAATGCTGTTTAAACTGCTTTTGTGATATATTTTGTTGTTACTAAAATAAGTTAATAATTTATTACTAATGTATTGACTTAATATTGCATGTAATAATTCTTATATTTCTTCTTCTTTTTATGCTTCCTCTTTTTAGCTATTTTGCTACTTTTGGCTTTAGTAAATGCTTTTTTTTTCTATTTTGATTTTTAAAAAATTTAAAAATTAATAAAGATATTTTACTATTAACTCAACCTGACAAGTATTGAGATATCTTCCTTTTATAATTAAACAAATGCTAAATATGAAATATTGAATCATATAAACATTATATTAATATCATTATAATATTATTAGTTAAATAAATGATTACATTAAAAATAATATACCTTTTGCTAGAAAGATATACTTACAAAGTTATTAGTTTCTGATTAATATGAATTCTTGTAATGTTCTTCTATACTCAAATAAAAATTGCATATGATAAATATTTAATAATTATCAGTATAATATCATTAGTTAAATAAATGATTGTATTAAAATAATTTACTTTGTTTTAATAATATTCTTATGAACTTATTAGTTTCCAATTAACATAAATTCTTGTAATATTCTTCTGTACTCAAATAAAAGATTGCATATCATAAATATTAAATTAATATCAGTATAATATTATTAGTTAAATAAACTATTATATTAAAATAATTTATCTTTGATTTGATAATATTCTTATAAACTTATTAGTTTCTGATTAACGTAATTTCTTGTAATATTCTTTTATATTTAAATAAAAATTACATATCATAAATATTTAATAAATATCAGTACAATATCATTAATTAAATAAATGATTATATTAATATAACTTACTTTTACTTTAAATATAAACTTATGATCTTGTTAGTTTTTGATTAACATGAATTCTTGTAATGTTCTTCTGTACTCAAATAAAAAATTACATATTATAAATATTTAATAAATATTAATACAATATTATTAATTAAATAAATGCTTACATTAATATAACTTATATTTGCTTTAGATATAAACTTATGATCTTGTTAGTTTTTAATTAATATAAATTCTTGTAATCTTCTTCTATACTTAAATAAAAAATTGCATATTATAAATATTTAATAATTATTAGTATAATATTATTAGTTAAATAAATAATTGCATTAAAATAATTTATTTTGCTTTGATAATATTCTTATAAACTTATTAGTTTCTGATTAATATGAATTATTGTAATGTTTTTTCATACTCAAATAAAAAATTGCATATCATAAATATTTAATAAATATCAGTACAATATCATAAATTAAATAAATAATTATATTAATATAACTTACCTTTTTTTGAATATAAACTTACAATCTTGTTAGTTTTTGATTAATATTAATTCTTGTAATATTCTTTTGTATTCAAATAAAAAATTGTATATCATAAATATTAAATTAATATTGATATAATATTATTAGTTAAATAAACTATTATATTAAAATAATTTATTTTCACATAGAAGACATCTGATATATAAGTAAATTATATAATTCTGCTTTGTTTTCTTAAAGATATGCAATCGAAATATATATCATATAAACACATTGTTTTTTTGATATTTACAATACATTTTCAATAATATAAGTTTTAAAATAAAAAATTCATAATTACATTACTTTTATATTATTAATAAAATAAATAATTATATTAAAATAATTGCTCTTTAAAAAATATACAACTAATCAGTTTATCACATTTAAGTAATACTGTATTGTTTTCTTGAATTATATAATTGTCAGACTATTGACCATGCAGCAAATTGTTTTTGATATGTTGCATTGTATTGTATATTACATGAATTAAGAATGGTATTTCAGTATAGTCTTATGATTGGATCATTTAGTATTATATACTGTATTTAGTTAATAATTACTTTGAAATAATTTTATTTGAGAAGATATATTAATTAAAGCATAAAGGTTAAAAAATTTGTCTTTTACATTCTATAGAATATGGTGTTTATTGTTTAAATAATCTTCTTTGTTATGGTTTAATACATTAACTTTCTAAAGAACTTTGTTTTTTTAGAATTTTTCATTTAGAAAATATAATCAAGAAATGTTTAATTATAAATATTTGAAGAATTCTATATGTATATTCAAAAGACAATCTGTACTCATAATATTATTATATTTGGTATAATGTTTATAATATTTATTTAAAGTGAGAAAAGAAAATTAATATGTTTTAAAGAGAAAAGGATAAACAAGTTCTAGAAAAAAGCTATAGAATATATCATCATTTATGCATTATTTATATTATCAAGAAAATTTAATTTTGATTAATTAGTCGATAATTGAAATATATATATTATTTGCTCTACTTTCATTAAATATTAGTACTATTGTTTTATGTATATTAAACATTTATTACAAAAAGTATTTAAGACAGTTGCTTGCACTATATATCAGATTGTTAAAAAATTCAGTAAGATCTTAAAGATATAATAATAAACAATAATATTATTTAATAAAGAAGAACCAGCATACAAATCAAAAAAAGTACAATATTATTACTCAACATGTAATAGAAAATATGTTGATCTTAGAACTAAATGAGATTATATAGCCTTAGCCAATATTGAAAGTGCTAGTATAAGTAAAGAACAATTATTATCAAAACATAAATATAAAGAAGAGCACTTTTTAAATTCTTAAAATATGATAATTTAGAAAGTGAAAGTTCTAAAAGTAAAGGTACAAAAGGAGAAGATAGTGATTTTAAATATTCAGATAATAATTATTCTAATAGCAATCATATAAAAACTAATGAATCAGAAAATAATAATAGTTTTAGCAATAATATGAAAAGCAAAAATCAGAAAATAAAGAAAATAGTATTACTAATGAAGAAGATAGTATAACAAGTGATGAAAATAATATAGAATCAAGCATAAATTCTATAAATATATTTTTTGAAGATGACTTTAATAAACAATTACCAATTATCAAAAAAGTGGCTAAAGATATATTTAAATAACCTTTATCTGTTGATGATAATAATAAATTAAATATTGAATAACCTTTAGATGAATCATTGCTATTCAATATATATTATCTATTTGATAATAATGATATAATGATAATTCACAATGAAAAGCCTAATGATTTATCTTTACCAAGCAATTCTTCAAATGACTCAAAAGATACTGCAAGTAAATCTTCAAAAGATTCACAAGAAAGTCATAGAATAATTAATTTTATTCTACCAAAAATTAATCTTGAAAATTTTTATTTACTATTTACTTTTGCTAATAGTAATAAGAATGAAGCAATCATTTTATAGATAATGAAATATTAGCAACATTTTAATAAATCTGATATTGAAACAGAAGCATTAATAAAGTTTTTTTTACTATATACTTATACATTTCAAAATAAATAAGGCTAATAGTTTCCTAACCTCCATGTTTACAACTAAATCATTTTTGGGTATCTTAACTAAATATAAAAAAATATGTTTCTTGTCCAAAGTGGCATAAACTCTATTGATTATTAAATATCAAAAATTATAAAAAAGATAATAAACCTGTATGCAAAAGATGTATACATATAAAATATTCTGAACATATATTATTTTCTCAAAGATTGGCCTGTAATAAACTATTAGCAAAGATTATAAAAACTAAAGAAGGATCTTTATTACAATCATTAAAACTTTATCCAGTTAGAAGTATAAAACAACAACTTTATATGATATATTAGTAACTAGGCTTTGAGAATATGTTACAGCATTTTAGTAATAGAAATATTCCAAATGAAATTTTCTTAGACATATTTAGGATGATATTTGGAAAAACATTTTGATTAATTCTGATAATTCTTAATCATTTTTTACAAATAACAAACTTGATACACATATTGGCCTAGCTCTTAATATTGATAGTTTCAACTATTCAATTATATAGTTCATAGTACTAAAATAATCTATAGAGTTTTGTGTAATTTACTATGTAAAGAATGATTCTAAACAAACAATATTTTAACATTAGGTATTATACTAAAAATTAATAAACTTAGTAAAATTAAATTAATCACTATCTTGCACAAATTGTTGATAAGTTATTAGAATTTTTCTCTGATTTGGAATCACTAGTAACATTTGAATATAATAAAGAAAGAAAGATATATGTAGTATTAATATTATCTGCTAATAATGTTTCTGCTGCAAAAAAAAATTTGTATTCATGCTAGTCATATAGTTAAATACTATTATTGTCTAAAACATTCAAAATATGATTCTGATACTAAAAGAAACCATTATAATAGTTTTGAAGATATGAAAGAATAGTTTAATCCTGAGATATCTTATAGTATTTTAATGCAGCAAAATAATAGTTATGTTGCACAAATAAGAATAAACATGAAAAACATGTCAAAGATATAGGAGTAAGATAATTGAAACTATATTAGCTAAAATATTTGATTCAGTTAAATTTATAGTAGTTGATCTAATGCATTGCTTATTCTTAGGCATTAGCAAGTAGATAATAAGACAGTATTTATTAAATTATAATAAACTTGACAATGCTAAACTTTTAACAATTGAAAAATGTATGTTAAATTTAAATTATGCTGATATAGGTATATTTTATCAAAAGTTATATATAGATCAGAAGGGTTTAATCGATTTATAGCAGATTAATTAAGAATATTCTACCAAGTCTGTGCTATTCCTTGCATGTAAAATATGTTAGATTTTGAAGATAAAGAAATCATTTTTAATTTTGTCTAAGTATGCAATTTATTAATAAACTAAATAGTTAAGCAAAATAATATAGACAAAGCATATAATCAGCTAATAAACATAGCATAGTTAATTGAAAAATATTATATATTATCAAATATTCATTTTTACTTCATATTAAACAATGTTTTCTAGACTATAATTCACCTTATACTTATTGGTGCTATTCTTTGAAAAGAATAAATGGTCTATTAGAATCCTATCCAACAAGCAATTAGTCAATTGAATCTAAACTTATATGCATTTTAATAAAAAATGCATATGTAGAATTTAAAATACATTTAGCAGATAGTGATGACACAAGATCATTATTGGACTAAGTTCTTTTACTTTTGAATAAAAAAGTATATAAAAGTTTAAAAATAACTAAAAACTTTGAAAATAAAGATTTAGTAGTATATCTGAAAATGGCTAATAAAATTGATACAACAAATGTAATCACAGAAGCAATAAGATATTCTGGTAAAATTCTAAAACCAATTCTTTCATATGTATATCTTTTTCAATAAGTAGCTATACAACATTGTGACATAAAACCAGAAACAGAAGAATTCTATACAGACACCATTTCAGTCACAGGAAACCATATTCTTTATTACAATCCATTTTTGGACAAGAAAATAATTATTTATAAAAGAAGTTGATAGTACTTTCAATCTGAATATTGGTTTGAATTTCAGTAACTAAGTCTAAAAACCTATTAATGAAATCAATAACTAACTGCTATATAGTTGGTTAGCTAGCATCACTCAGTTTTATTAAATTTGAAAACATTAAAAATTTATGAAACATATCTGTATTTAGAAATAATCAACAAATTCTTTTGATTAAGTCCTTGACAATCAGTGATTATCATTTTATCTGTCTGATAAAAAATTCAATGAAAAAAAATAAAAATTACCAAATATTTAGGATTGAGGTCTTTAAATTTATATTGGGACACTAATTTTTATGTCTAAAAAACTTATTTTTACTATCATTTGTTATAGCATTTTCAATTTTACAGATGTATACACTTATTTATATTTTTTTAAGAAATATTAAATGATGAATAAGTTATGCAGTTCAATCAATTCCAAGATTTTGCATAAAGAGGCATTTGTTCCTGATATCTATCATTAAAGTATTATTTAGGATGCTACACAAAGTTATGATGATAGATTACCCAATCATATATCAGAAATTACACAGACATCTGTAACTATAGATTAAATATTAAATGCTCACATGTAGAAGCATATATGTAATAGTTACACTACCAGTATAAGGTGTGAAATGGCATGCAAAAAATAGACAACACATAATATTATATAATAAACAGAGTCATACAAACCAATCAAGTGCTGAGAATTGTATATGCATATTAACTTGTCTGTAAACTATACACTATGTTGTACATTGTACAAACTCTGTTATTGGTAAATATTTATCAATATTTTGTTGAATATTATTTTATATTATATCATATAACATCATTATCAGTTAATAATATTGTAACCCAATATGGAAAATTAAAGTTGAGAATAGATATATATAATTTAAAAATAGCCTCATAATATGTTAATTGATCATATATTAGAGCAAAGTTCTTAGCCTTTACATATAATTCTGTTAATATATATTCAGAACAAATATAATTTTTTTTAATATAAATTTTTCAGTATACCTTCTATTTAGCTTATATTCAATGGTATTGGCTATACAAAACATAAAGACATTAGTTATTATTAAAGGATGATAAGCATTGTAATATAGAAATTTGGCAAGATAAATTTTATAATAAAGCTAGAGACTGTATAATTTCTGTTCAAAGGATATTAGGACAATTTATCTTTTTATCATACAAATTTAAATATAGTACTTTATTGCAAAATGTATTAGTAGTAATTTCAACAAATAAATAATTTAATATATAATTAAACTGATAGTTTATTGATTAATTATTTTTTAGTATATGTATTTAATATATTTAATAAATATTTTTTTAAATTTGGATATATAACTATTATTATATTAATATGCACATTTTACATTATTATTGCTTTTAGTTTCTATCATTATATATTTATAATCATTGTTAAAATATCAATATAAATAACATAAATCAAGTAAATTAATATAATCAGTTGAATATCTTCTTATATTTTATTATATTAGAAAATTTTAGTCTTATATTTAAAATTAATTTTAAAATTAAAATAATCAACTATATATTATTTATAAAATTATTATATTTTTGATATATTGGTTAATAAAAATAGTAAACTAAATTATTAATAAAAAGTCTTTTTAATATTAAATTTAAATAATAAAATTTTATTTATCATATTATATCTTTTAATATTTTATTATATCACTAATTATCAGTTTATATTATTATTACTATTTAATATATCATTCTTGTTTTATAAATATTTGGTACTTTTATAATCATATAAATATCTTTTTGTTATTTATATAATCATCTGGCAATTAAAGGGATGGGGTTCTATAGCCTAGTGGTCTAGGTGCCCCTCCCTCCACAAACAAGGTTGACAGTTCAATTTCAGCTAAAGGCAACTCTGTAATCTACAGAAGCATATGAATGTATGCGAAGCTCTGTAGTTAAGTTCATGTTATTAGAAGATCAGAATATAAGGAAGTTCCTAGAAAAAAGACTCCTGATATGGAGAGTTGGTGCTCAATGCGAGAAAAGCGGTGAACATATCAGAAATGAAGAGAAGGTGCACTAGTGGGTGATATAGTGAACATAAAAGGAAACTATAAAAAAGAAATGGACTTACTGACATTCGAACACTTCTGGCACCAAACCAGTTCTAGTAGATACAGAATATACTAAAATTAGATAAATCTAAGGGGTAATCTTGATACCATACTTAGTAAGTTTGCATCGAGGGTAAATTCGAAAGGACTATGGATACTTAGTAACATTTAATATGGTAGAACTTAGATATAAATAGTAATTAGATAGCCCTAACCTGTTCTGTCATAAACATGATGGTATATATTGTATATATATGCAGTTAAGTGTGAAAATTAGAAAGTTTAAATAGAGGACTCACAGACAGATTTCAGGTATGGCATTTAGTAGGTAACCTATGGGCAGAACCCTTATTTAGATAATAACTAAAGTTATATGAGTGACTAGTTGTACTTTCGTTGATATACTCTGTATATAATATGTAATCTTATATTACTATTAATAAAAAGACATACAGGCAAGACTGCCCTTAAAATTAAAAAAAAAAATCATCTGGCAATCAGTTAATAAAAATAGTAAACTAAATTACTTAACTGTATATCTTAAAAGTATTTTAGCTATATAATAAAATTTTATATATTAGTAAGTTATTATGAGAAATTTATTATATTATAATTTATTAGTATATATTATTATTAATATACTAAATATTATTCTAGTTTATATATATATTTTAAAAGTTAGTTAACATACTTACTAATTTATTAACAGTCTGTCAAAATAAAGTAATCACCAACCTTGGTCTAACCAACTTATATACAGTTAAAAATGTAATAGACTAGAGAGAAACAATAACTCCACTATTCTGATACATTTATTATAACCCACTTATTCATAAAATTGCATCACAATATAATAGTTACTCACTATCTACATCTTGAAAAACTCACCTTTAACCACCTAGATTCCAAAGCCTTCGAGCATCTATATCAGTATTAGCTTATATGAATAATACACTCTGAATAGCAAAACCAAAACATGAGTTAGAACAAATTACTCAAACTGCTTCATCTTTCTATCTAATAGCCAACATTCAGATTAATGCTACTAAATTTGTCTTTATTTCTAACTCATCTATATTTAATATTCAATTTTTTAACTATATCTTAAAATCCATACCTGCTAGTCAACCATTTAAGTTTTTAGGTTGTTGTTTTACACTTAACAATAAACATACTGAACAAATTAAAATTATCCAAGAAGAAACTCTCCAACTCACAAACATCACTAGTACAAAGAAAATTACAAATAAACAAATCATCTACATAATCAACACAGTCATTATACCTATACTCAAATATAGATTACACAACATTATTATACATCATTCCACATGCAACAACATTTTTGCCAAATACTTAACAATAGCCAAATGCAAATCCCATCTAGCATGCTCAATCCCCAATAGTATCATGCTTAACTCATACCTATATAATGTTTATAATATATGGGACATCCAACTCTAATATTATATTACTTACTTTTTATCATGACTTAACAATTCTAACCTATTAGGAACTTCAACACAGATAAGACTATAACAACTTCAAAACAACCTATAGTCAACTATCAATATACTTCAACATCCCAATCCTATTATTAATGGTCCAAATAAACATATACTAAACATCAAAATTATTCAATTACTAAAACACCTAAACATATCCATAACTGCTAATTCCAATATTTCATAACCAAACACTATATTATATAATTTTCAATCAATAGAATCAATTTTATTTCGACACCTTCA